CGACTTAGATGTATGTGCACATCTAAGACAGTTTTGTAAAAACCGACTTAGATATATAAATACATCTAAGTCGGTTTTTACATAACTGACGTAGATATGTTCATTCATCTACGACGGCCTTATCTAAGTCGGTTTTAAAACTGATGTAGATATGGCAAAATAACCGACTTAGAATACAATTCTTCTATTTGTGACGGATTTTTTGAAGATTAGTGACGGATTTGTTCCCTCTCTAATTTTAATTTTTCTAGTAGTGAGGATTGAATGAAATCTCAATGATAAACACAAACTAATATAAAAATATTTGTGTTCAATATTTTTTACTTACTTTGTACCTATATCATCTTACTTAGTTGCTTACTCGTATCAACTTAAATACCATTTTTTTTCTCATGCAAGAGTTAAAAAGTTTTTAAGAAAAAAATTCAACTATCTCTTTTTATAATCTCCCAAGCTTTAATATTTGGTATCATAATTCAACCTATAAAAAGGATTGAGCTTTCGATAATACTAAAGGAAAGATCCAGGAATGACCAATATAGAGAGACGGTATTTTTTTAAAGAGCCTCTTTGAAAAAGCTTTCCACTTTTAATGGGGTGGACCATCCACAATGGAAAAATAAAATGGAAATGTTTATCAACTCCAATCAATATAATATTTGGAAGATCATCATAGATTGTAATATACTAGTTTTGAAGCTTGGGAGTGAAATCCCTTGAAAGGACTACAATATCTTTCAGCACAACACCATAACAAGATATATTATAGCTTATGTTTGTCTATAGTTGAAAATAATAAGTTTCTTAGTTATAAGACAACTAAAGAGATGTGGGATGCAATCAGAGTTAGTTACACTAGTGCAAAAGAGGTATTTTACGTCGGTTATTTTAGGATTTTTACGTCATAAATAAGTTCGATGTTAATGCGGGAGACGTAAATTTACGTCAGATCCACTATGTCCGACATAAAACATCCTCCCCGTCATAGGCGGCGTCTACCTCTCCTGCATCGCCGACCGGAAGCCCTAGGCCGGCTTCGAGGCTGTTCTCCTGGCCCTCTACGCGCATGAAGCAACCTCATGCACCGCCGTCACCATCCCTGAACTCACAAACTCCAGCATCTACCATGACGCCAAAGCCTCCCCCAACAAAACTTAGAAGATTAACCTAGGTCAGAAAACTCAGAAATAACAACGAAAGGCTCAAAACTCACTTTCGCTGAAAACTCAGAAACACTCTTCACTGGATTCTAATCGATCAAAAAGATGGAGAATGACCCACCAATGATGAGCCGCCCTTCGCCGAAAGTCGCCGGAGCTCAAACCGCAACTAGAACTTGTTCTCACCTTCGCTGAAAATCGCCCAAACGCTTTTCAAATTAACCTAGGTCGCACGCGCGAGGAAGACGAAGGTGCGCCCCAGGGATATAAAAAAGTTTTTATGTCGGACTAAATAGGGGTCCAACGTAAAATTTCAAATCTACGTCGGTTGTGGCTTCTGTCCGACGTAGATTTCAAATTTTACGTCGGACCCTGTGTAGTCTGACGTAAAATAGTTTGACTTATTTTTAAAATTGTCACCGCGTCTTTTTTACGTCGCTTATTTGTATGTCCGATAACAAAGAGGTGACGTAAAAGACTGATTTTCCACTAGTGTTATGAAGACATTGAAGATATCAAACTCAAAATAGATGTTTCTTTTTAGAGATATTATGAGATATTCATCGTGAAGGTCACTGAGACTATATATGAAATGTTTTGGAGATTCGAGAGTATCATTAATGGTCTACAAGCCTTGGAGATTTTGAATCACTAAAACTCAATACGATCTTAAAATCCTAAAAAGTCTACTAGGTGAGTCAAGTCAAAGAAAAGAGAAAGGAAAAACTCTCAAGGCTCAATCTAACTTAAGTAACTCAAAAATACGTTGAAGAAGAAAGAGAGACCAGAGAGCTTCCAAAAGAAGAATGACAAGTTTAAAAGGCCTTTAAAAGAAGACAGTAATGAGACTATCTACTTTGAGTGAAAAAAGTTGAGACATGTGAAGGTTGAAGGTCCTAAATTGAAGAAAATGTGGTCTAAAAAAAAGATAATATCTTGATGGTCACCTAGAAAGTTATGGCCTATAGTAATAATAGCAGCAATTCATTCGAAGAAAAAACAAACATTTGTTTTATGACATTTACAAATGAAACAATACTCTAGGTAAATTTAGAACCTAAAATTGTTTATGATTTATCCTATAGTTCTAAATATATCTTAGATGAGAATGAAAATGTTTTATGACACTCTCTTGACTAATTTTCACATGATCTTTCTTAAGTATAAAATGTGTAAAGAAAATTATAAAGATCTCATTTTTAAAAATTAAAAGCTAAAAAAGGATTTGGAAGAATTAACTAAAGAAAAGAAGCTTCTTAATTTCAAGATTATCTTAGTATATCATTATGAGGTTGTAACTTTAAAGAATGAAAACATGCAACTCAAAAATGATGTTAAGTATGTGGATGGTTTTTCCAAATTACATATGATTTTAAAACACAATAGAGCATCATCTGTCAAAAGGGACATTAGATGTAACACCTCATTACATTTTAAAATTTGTTTTTCTATTATTACTTTTAGTTAATTGGTTATAAAGTTATAAATTGTTTTTTTTTTTTTGCGATTATTAAATATTAAATTTTTGTAAGGTTTGAAGAAATAACAAAAATACAAATATCATTCATATAGTTATATACTTTGTTATATATGATAAACTAAACATTTCGTTCATACATCCATTCTGATTACTTAAAGCAAATACAAAAAGAAGAAAATACAATACAGAAACATAATCATTCTATTTAGAATCCTCTAACAGTGAAAACAAACACTCCTTTAAAGGACTGAAGTAGGCATTTGAAGTGCTCTAATATTGATTCACAATTGTATGTAGCCTTAGATGTGACACATGAAAACAAAATATAATACACATGTATTATATTGCATAACATTAGAAGACGAACAACATATATGGCCATCATTTTAATTATTGTTGTGAATCTTGTTGTGATCACTCTAACAATATAATAATCCAATAATTGACATACGTATTGATCATTATCTATATCCCCTAATATAAATACAAAAAAAATACACATGTTCGTGATGGATAAGTTTTTCATCAATTTCAAGCTAACCTTCTGAAATATATTTGGGTATCATAATAACCATAATTAAATGTTAATTTTATTATTTTCATTATTTTAATGAAACAATGAAATTAATTTGCATATTTTAATTATATAATTTTAGTTGTTTTTTTTAATAAAATCTAATTATAAAAATAGCCTTGCTTTTATTTTTTAAGAGCTTTTTCATATTACTTAAAAAAATTCGAAAAAATATGGGTACAAATAATTTTTTTTATTTTAATAATTTAGTTATTTCATGAATAAGATAATTATAACTTAATAAATAGTTTTTTTAAATATAAATAATAGTTAAATTAACTTTTCATCTCTTATCTTATTTTTAAGATTCACTTTAATTCTTTATCTCCCAAAATATTCATTTTTTGTCATTTATTTTCTAAATTTATGTCAATTTGGTTGTTCTAAATTTTCAATTTTAAAGCATAATTTTGGATCCTTTTTAACTTGTGAAACTTGTTTGATTCACCTACATGCAAACTTTGAAAGTGAATTTATGCTTAAATCTAACAGGAAAATCTCTAACAATATATAAAATGCATATCTTTCTTTGATTTTCATTTTCGTAGGCATTTATACCCTTTTATTTTATTTTGGTCATTTTTCCACCACCATATTTCGTTAGAGTAAAATAGAAAAATATATGTATATAAAAAAAATATGCCCACTCTATCAATAATAACTAATTAACTGCCCACTTAATTTATAATTATTTTTTACCTCTACTTTTGTTTAAGATTATTTTATCTTTAATTGACTATATCTCATTGTTTACTATACTTATTGCAACATCTATTATTTTATATTAATTTTAAACAAAATTCATAGAAGCATGAGATGTCTCTTTTTGGTTGCAAACTTTTAACGAAAATTGTGCAAATATCACATAAAAATACAAGCAATAAAAAAATTTAATATTAGACATTTTTATTCTTGTTGTTAATTAATAGACTTATTTTCACACGATTTTCATTATGTATATCAGTAGAGTTAAGACACTTTATGTCATCGTAAATTTTGTTTAAAAAAAAATATAAGTTACAAAATATAAATCTAAGTAAGATAATATATAATTAGACAAAAATTATAATAATTTTAAACAAAATTGGAGACCCAAGATTATTACAAAATAAGGGATAGTTATTATTGATAGAACAGCTAAATATTTTTTAATACATATTTTTTTCTTTTATTTTATTCTTAAAAGATATAATGTTAAAAAATATATAATAAAAGAGTATAAATGTTAAAAAAATATAAAAAATAAATGAAGCTATCCTCATATATAAAAATAATAATAATAATAATAATAAGATTATAATAGTATAAGTAAATATTTTTGTTTCAAATATTAATTATGCTCAATAGTTATTATGGTGAATCTATACATTTTGGTATCTTGAATAATTAAATAAAAAATTTAGAATCGTATTTCAAGATTAAAAAGATCATTATTTTAAAAAGATTGAATCAATTTAAATTTAAAAATTAAAAATTAACGTAAACACTTTAAAAATAAAATAAAAACATAATAAATTTTAAAAATAAGACAAAGAAATAAAATTATAATTTAGTCGAAATAAATTAACACAACGCCAGATTATCGATCAAGTTACATTTAGTTACTTTTTTTTTTTAAGACATGACTAGTTTGATAAATATTGTACTTATGAGTTAGCTAAGTTTAAAAAATAATAATAAATAAACAAAAATCAGTTATGTGTAAATTAAAGAATTATAATTTAAAAAATAAATTATATATAAATGGAAATAAAAAATGTAATGGATACCCCATTGCGTGGTTGGGAGTAGTTATCTCGTATCTGAACCGTCCTATATATAAACTTGACCCACTTTAGGTTCCTATTTTTCTCATTCATCGCTAATTCAATTCCTTCACCTTCTGCTTTCTTTCCCTCTCGCAATTTGCAACTCGCAACATTAGGTATTTTCCTCATTCTTCTTCTTTTTCAATTTGATCGCTCTTTTTGTTTTATCTTTGCTTCGTCGGTTTCCTTGCATTAATCACGCGCCATGCGTAAACAAGTTCGTAACTTTAACCCCTTGCCTTTTCTGAATGACAATTTTCTTTCATACCCAGTTACTAGTTTCTATGTTGGGCGTGTTATTGGTTCTTTGTTGACGTAACGGTGCAATAGCGGATTTGAGGATTTTTCTCTTGTATCAGCTGTTTGCATGATCAGTTCTTAGCTTCTGTTTCATTCTTTTAATGAGATTTAATGAATCTTTTTTCCTATTTTAAAAACCGGGTTTCATTTGTTTGTTATTAAAAGTTATGTCACTGTTACCTCGTATTCGTTATTATTCTTTAGTTTCTGGGTTAGGGGCAGGTTAGGTTAACCTTCAGTTTGTGGATTTCTTGTAGGCATGTCCCTTCAAATACATATATGAACCCATTTGAATATATTGTATAAATTAATGAAATTTTTCGAGATTGAATGCATTGGAACAACATTGATGTAATGACATGTGAGGGAATTAAATTATGCATATTCTTTGACTTCTTGGGTCTATACTGATTATATACAAGGAGAGTGGTTTGTGGTAATTATTGGACATGACATGTGAATTTGTATTTGATACATTCTAGTTACGCAGAACTTTAGTTCTTTTCTTTGTATGGTACTATGTACTGTGTCCTCTGGTTCCTTTATTTGTATGGTATTGGTATGTGTGCGTGTGTGCATGTGTGTATGCATATTCCAAGAACATTCATTCATTAGACTAAGCTTCATTTGGTCGTTGGAACGTGATGGGTAGCGGTGTTTAGCTTAATGATTATGCACACAGAATAATACAGATTTCATGATTTCCCTTTCCTGGCCTGTGTTTGCTTTGATGACCATAGAACCATTGATGATATCATATAAATATTGGGGAATCAAAGGTTCCGTGGAAAGGTGATTGTTGCAGTAAAATTTTGTATCCATGTATAATTAGCAATGGGTCTAATTGTGTGAGCGAGGAGTGTAGATAAGGAGCAACGGTTGGAAAAAACATGACTGAGACCACTTGTAATTTCCATTGTTAATTGTTACAGAATAGGTATATAGAATCAACATCTAGCCTTCATCTTAAAGCATAAGCTTTAAGAAGAGTTGAACCTTGACTGGCTGACAGCTTTCTAGTGTTATTATAACTTCAGGAAATCTTGCCCTTTTGAAATATTTTATTGCATGACAAGATATTGATAGTAAATATGATAATAAATTGAATGAAGGGCTGCATAATGGGATCAGTACGTTTCTAACGTCTGTGTATGTCTTTGTTCAATAAAAAGTTATATTTATTTTGGTCTACTTCATATTTTCTCGGACCGAGAACAATAGCATCTTTGGAAATGTGAGTTGGTGCATATCATTTCTAATGTTGAGTATGTTTAATTTTTTCCAGTGCTTGGTGATTGATTACCTAAGAAGGACTTTGTTTGTTACTAGTAACCAAGGGCAAGTTTCATGTCTGAATTCGACACAAACATCCCAACTGCTTTTGGTGGGTGCTGAATATCTCAGTTCATATGTATATATAGTTTTTTTTTATTTGGTATCAAAAAATTCAATTAGACTGAAACCAGATGACAATTTCTTGCCAACAATTTATCATTGGATTCTGATGTGGTTTGACAATTGAATAGATCCCTTTGCTGAGGCAAATGCTGAGGACTCAGGTGCTGGGACAAAAGAGTATGTTCATGTCCGTGTACAACAGCGTAACGGAAGGAAAAGCCTAACAACTGTTCAAGGATTGAAGAAAGAGTACAGCTATAGCAAGATACTCAAAGACTTAAAGAAAGAATTTTGCTGTAATGGTACTGTTGTTCAAGACCCTGAGTTGGGCCAGGTTTGTGTGTTGTTCTCTCCGTCGTAAATAATGCACCATCTAATTATTCTTTGCTGTGTCATCGTAGGAGACTGAAATAACATGCTATTTCTCATCCAGTGAACTTTTTTGGCTCTCCCTTGATATGGACATTCTTAATCAGGATGTCTCTTATCCTTATCAATGATAGTCTAAACATCAATTTTTGTATGGATGCAGGTCATACAACTTCAGGGAGATCAAAGGAAGAATGTTTCTACTTTCCTTGTGCAGGTAAACATTCTTATTACTTATATTACTTAATTATAATGTGGTTGTTGTTCTATACTATAAAGTTATATTCTAATTTCTAAATTACAAACAGGCTGGCATAGTAAAGAAGGAACATATCAAGATTCATGGTTTCTAAGGTCTAACCATCGGTGGCAATTTATCTTCATGCTAAATATACATAGCCTTGCTTACTACATTACCACCAGCAGCTGCTTATAAATCTGAATTCAAGGGAATATCAGTCACTGCAACATTCTGTTATATGTAATCTGCTGTGGTTCTGTTTTCCTTATTCTGGATAGTTATTACTGGGTTATGTGGCAACGATAATATGTCTGCTTCTAAGACAACTGTCTTGAATAAATTTTTTATTATTCTTCCGCCTGTTTTTGTTGCTTTTTATTTTGGGCCCTAGACGTGCCAACTGCCAAATGTTTTAACTGTTGTGCTTGTGGGAACTCAATATATATATATATATATATATATATATATATATAATTTTATGGACCTTTATTTTTATATGATTGTCAATTTTCGTAA